ACAGCAGAAATGACCCTAAAAAGTTTAATATCATCAGCAAATAATAAAAAAATTAGAATAATTTGGAACAAAAGAAAAATCATTGATGAACAAAGTGAAAAAAAGTGGTCCCAAAATAGACCTCTGGGGGACCCCTGACAATACAGTTAGCCATTCAGATAAACAACCATAGATTACAACTTTCTGTTGTCTAGCATATAAATAATTATAGAAAAAAGCTAAAATATTATCAGAAAAACCAAACTTACTAAGTTTGTAAAGTAGAAAATTATGTGGGACTCGATCAAATGCTTTAGCCATGTCCGTATAGATCACTTCACACTGAGTCTTGGAATTTATAGCAGAATAAGCATTTGACAAAAAGACCGAAAGGTTTGTTTCACATGATCTGCCAGGAAAAAAACTGTGTTGTTTATCAGTAATTACAGAACGGACATGGCTAAAGATTTGATCATGTATGATTCTTTCAAAAATTTTTGATAATGAAGGTAATAAAGAAATGGGTCTATAGTTTTTAACATCTGATTTGGAGCCTCCTTTGTGAATAGGACAGACACTGGCCTTTTTCCAAGTGTCCGGATAACAATTTTCAGCAATAGATCTTTCAAATAACTTTTTACAGGGCAATGAAAGTGGTTTGGCAGCAACAGATAACATAACGTTACTGATGCCATCACAGCCAGAGGCCTTGTGCGGGTTAATTTGGCTTAATAATTTTTCAATTTTGATTTGATCAATATTAATATGATTGAAACTATCAATAGGATATTCAGGAAGATCCGGATGGTCGTGACCACCATTGTTGCAGCTGTAAACAGATTGAAAAAAACGATTAAATAAGTTAGCTTTGTCTTTTGGCAAACTCGCAGAGACACCATCAAAATAAATTTCTGATGGAAGACCTGCGGATTTGCGCGAAGACTTGAGCCAAGACCAAAAACGCTTGGGATTATTAACAACATCACAACACAAAGATTTAACATAGTGCGATACTTAAAATTACACTTCTTGAAATTAGTTCTTGCAAAGCGAAAATTCTCAATATTCAGACGATTACAATTCCTCTTTTTATTTTTAAAATAAGACTCCTTAAGCTTAAGGGCACAATACAACTCATTATCAAACCAAGGGGGTAATTTTCTTTTTGGTTTGAAAGTAGGAACTAAGTCTACAGTTGCAAAAACTAGATCATAAAATAATGCTGTAGCTTTATTAATATTATCTGTCAACTTGATTAAGTTTCTTAAAGTTATAAAGTGGACGGGAGTCATAATTAATTTTAGGGGAGAGAAAATCAATAGGAAATTAAAAGTAATTGCACAGTGATCTGAAAGTAAAATATCCTTACTAAATGAAATATCACTACATGTCTTATTGCATAGAACTAAATCAAGAGTGTGACCAGCACAAGCCGGGAAATTTACAAATTGTTTAAAATTATTACCATTAAAAACGTTATCAATAAAAAAAACACCATTAGAATTATCAGGAGCATTACAAATTACATTATTATTTACATAATGTTTATTAATATTATTGAACCAAGTATTATTCTGGTAAATTAAAATCACCAATCAATAATATATCATGGTTAAAACTTTGAAATTCATATTGCACATTGTTAATCGATTGCGCAAGTTGATCAATGGAGTCCTTTGTCGCAGACGGTGGCCTATAATAAAGACCAACCATTAAGAACTTTTTACGTGAGAGTGTCAATTTAACCCACATCAATTCTTGATGGTTGGTTTCAAGATGCTCTAATCGACAGGACTTAAACTTGTTGCTGACCAAAAGTAGAACTCCTCCACCTCTTTTATTATTATTTCGATCTTTACGGTAGAGATTATAGTTAGATATAGAGAGCTCACTATCTTCAACTGAGTCATTAAGCCATGTCTCAGTGAGGGCTATCATGTCTAAATATTTAGTGAACATATGGCTGTATATCATCAAAATGTCTCCAAATGAATCCAAGGAGTCTGTTACTCTTAGCTACAACATAATCTACATGTTTACAAAAATTTAAAGAAGAATCAACAAATATTAAATAAGTTAGCTTTGTCTTTTGGCAAACTCGCAGAGACACCATCAAAATGAATTTCTGATGGAAGACCTGCGGATTTGCGCGAAGACTTGAGCCAAGACCAAAAACGCTTGGGATTATTAACAACATCACAACACAAAGATTCAACATAGTGCGATACTTAAAATTACACAACTTCTTGAAATTAGTTCTTGCAAAGCGAAAATTCTCAATATTCAGACGATTACAATTCCTCTTTTTATCTTTAAAATAAGACTCCTTAAGCTTAAGGGCACAATACAACTCATTATCAGACGAAGGGGGTAATTTTCTTTTTGGTTTGAAAGTAGGAACTAAGTCTACAGTGGCAAAAACTAGATCATAAAATAATGCTGTAGCTTTATTAATATTATCTGTCAACTCAAGAATGTCAACTTGATTAAGTTTCTTAAAGTTATAAAGTGGACGGGAGTCATAATTAATTTTAGGGGAGAGAAATCAATATGATAATTAAAAGTAATTGCACAGTGATCTGAAAGTAAAATATCCTTACCAAATGAAATATCACTACATGTCTTATTGCATAGAACTAAATCAAGAGTGTGACCAGCAAAAGTCGGAAAATTTACAAATTGTTTAAAATTATTACTATTAAAAACGTTATCAATAAAAAAATTTACCATTAGAATTATCAGGAGCATTACAAATTACATTATTATTTACATAATGTTTATTAGTATTATTGAACCAAGTATTATTCTGGTAAATTAAAATCACCAATCAATAATATATCATGGTTAAAACTTTGAAATTCATATTGCACATTGTTAATCAATTGCGCAAGTTGATCAATGGAGTCCTTTGTCGCAGACGGTGGCCTATAATAAAGACCAACCATTAAGAACTTTTTACGTGAGAGTGTCAATTTAACCCACATCAATTCTTGATGGTTGGTTTCAAGATGCTCTAATCGACAGGACTTAAACTTGTTGCTGACCAAAAGTAGAACTCCTCCACCTCTTTTATTATTACTTCGATCTTTACGGTAGAGATTATAGTTAGATATAGAGAGCTCACTATCTTCAACTGAGTCATTAAGCCATGTCTCAGTGAGGGCTATCATGTCTAAATATTTAGTGAACATATGGCTGTATAGTTCAGATTTATATGTCTCCATCTTGTTTTTAACACTTCTAACATTTTGGTAATAATATATTGTTAGTGCGTCCTTCTGCTTACTATCTTTAGCAATGTTTGGCTGCAGGACCTGGATTAAGTTCTATGTCTCCACATAAGATTAACGGCTGAATATGGAATGTAGGTACGTCATTGGTATAGTACGAAACAGCTTTCCCAAGAAAATTACGTTTCTGCTTTGACCTCATAATATCATTGATGGTAACTGAGTTTAAGCAATAATATATTTGATTAGATGGAGGCATACTTGATGTGAAGCTAGATCTCACTTGCCTAAAACAACAATCCAAATCTGTGTCAAGGCCTAGGTTTAGGCCTGTTGACTTGTCCTCCACATAGGTAGGCATATCAACACCAGCTGCAGTAAGATTGATGGTATTCCTGCTATAAGTTGGCATATTCGGGCCTAGATTTTCACACCAAATCTCGGGTTTTAAATTCAAAATTGTAGATTGAAATATTTCTGAAATGGTTATATCCGTGTTCAAACAGGTTGATAGCCCATAAACAGATAGTTTAGCACTAACATTTAGTATAAAACATTGGTAGAAAATAGCCAGCACTATACACTGAACAGCAGCCATTATGACCGTACTATGAATCTGTTAATGTACAATGGTACTGTATATGTTTTCTATGGTGCGCTACTTAAATGGAGTAAAAATATCCAAAACCAGGTCTCAAATTGCAACAATCACTCAATTTTAACAATCGATAAAATGCAATTATAGACATGCGTATGATTTTGATCGCAGAACACTTCAATAGTTTTCCAAATAACTACCAAAAAGGAGAAAAACAAAAGTCACAATCAAAAACAAAAGTTAAATCAATATGTGCACCTATGTTCAGATCTAGAATCCCCAGGTCTATTTTAGACTCTGTATCAAATCTACAGGTTGCTGATTGCTATGATAAGGATAGAGATATCAATGTTGGTGGGTCTTGATTATTATTGGGACATGATGGGCCAGGGGATGCAATGCCTCTCAGGGGGTCTGAGGGCTCAGGAAACCAACTTTGTTTGGATGATATCCGGGAAGTAGAATGGTTTGAAACAGAATAATTCACATATGAATATTAACCTTATATCCCCTCAGTTGCTTTGCATTTCACACATACCCCGTAAAACCATGGAGAAATTTTGTGATCTGGAAATAGTTGGGGTAAAAAACGCAGATGGGGAACTGCCAGATGATATGCTGAAATCATTTACTGAAAGTATCAGTGTTGTAAATGGTAGATATGAAGTGAAACCGTGGAAAGATGGTATGAAAGAGCGATTGTGTGACAACAAAGGATTGGCTAGTGTTAGACTCAATAGGAGACTTGCCAAGGATGATGGTTTGTGTGAACGTTATAATGCAGCCTTAACAGAAACGGAAAAATTAGGTATTATAAAAAAAGTCCCTGATTAACTATTAACTGTGATGACAGAGAGTATTACCTACCCCACCACCCTGTAGTAAAGGACACCAGTCTCACAACTAAAGTGCGACCAGTATTTGACGCATCTGCCAAAGGGTCCAATAGTTTAGCCCTTTATGATTGTTTGGAAATAGGACTCCCCACTAATTCCAGGACTGGTTGATATTTTACTCCGTTTTAGGAGATGGCAGATTGGGTTACCTTCGGATATAACTAAAGCCTGATAAGGATGTACATAGGTTTCTTTGGAAGGTTGATGATAATGTCAGAATAACAGTCCATTTCTTTTGAATGCTACATTCGTTATCACTTGTCTAATTACCCAGATTGTCTTCCTATTACAGAATTGAAAGATAACCTCTATGTGGATGACTGGCTTTCTGGAGCTGATTATTATGAAGATGTAATTCTGTCGTTCAAGCAAGCACACTATGTAATGGCTCAGGGAAAGTTTAAACTTGCTTCTTGGAATTCAAATGATGCCCAGGTAAACAGATATGTTTTTCAAACAGAAACACTTAGGGACAGACAGCGTGAAAATCCTTGGTCTTAAATGGGTTAAGTGCTGTGACAGTTTTAAGTTTGAAGTAGTTGAGATTCCAGAAGATGTTGTAGTCACAAAACGTTTGGTCTTGAGTATCTTGGCTAGGTTATATGATCCTTTGTTATTTCTTACTCTATTCACTATGACGGTTAAGATTCCATTGCAAGATATTTGGTTGCTGAACTGTGGGATGAGCAAACTCCAGATGAGATTCAGCTGAGATTTCTTAAGTGGGTTGCTGGATTTGAGATGACACAGAGTTGGAAATGCAATAAAAACATAGAATTACATGGCTTTGGTGATGCCTCGGAGAGAGGTTATGGTTCAGTTATATATCTTCGCATCCCATATTCAGATGGTTATGAAGTTTCATTTGTCACAGGTGAACCTTCAAGGTGGAAAACCTTTGTGAGAAATAGAGTCACAGAAATCCAACAACTAACACAGAAGGAATCGTGGGCTCATTGCCCAGGAGAGCAGAACCATGTGGATTTGTTAACTATAGGTGTGTTGGCAGGGGAGTTGGTTTCATCTAACATGTGGCTTTCTGGACCTGATTGGCTGTCCATGAAATTTGATATTGCTGAGGAAGTAGGTTCACTAAAGCAAGTTGAAACATTTTTGGAACCAGAAGTGAAGTCTGTTATGTTAGTTGAGGTGACACCAAGGTTAGGTTATCTGATGTACAGAGATGGAGTTCATTAGAAAAGGCAATTAGAGTAATTGCATATGTTAAGAGGTTTATTCAGAACCAAAAGAGAAAGAGTAAAAATGTACAGGACCTGACAGGATTGTCTTGTTGGTGAAGAACAAAAATTTGCTTTAAAGCAGGAACTGGAGGCATTGAAAGGCAAACTTATTTCTAAATCCTTGTATAAACTGACACCTTTCTAAGGAAATGGTGGTCTATTGAGGGTCAGTGGGCGTCTTCAACAGTCAGATCTTTCGTATGACAAGAAACATCCTATAATACTTTCAAAAAGTCACTTTTCTACATTACTTATTTGTTCTTATCACATTATATTACAGCATGCAGGAGTGGACACAATGATCACTTGATTAAGAAACAATTATTGGATAGTTGGAGTTAGGAGGTTGGCCAAGACTGTTAAGAAGAAGTGTCAGTCATGTCAACGTGTAGATGCTCAGGCATGTAACCAAGCTGGAGCCCCTCTTCCTGAATTGTGTGTTCATCAGGCACCCCTTTTCACAGTGACAGGTCTAGACTATGCTGGACCATTGTTTTGCCTTGACTTTCTAGGTGTCAAATTTTACATTCTATTGTTCACTTGTGCGGTTGTCCGAGCAATTCATTAAGAGCTGACAGATTCGTTGTCACAAAAGGATTGTGTTAGCTCTGAGGCGTTTTGTCGCAAGGCGTGGATTACCCACTGTGATGTATTCAGACAATGCAAAGACATTTGATGGAGGTCGAAAAGAACTTTTACCCTTATTTGGTGGTGACGTTCCAAAATAGAAGAATATCACTCCACGATCTCCTTGGTGGGGATGATGCTGGGAGCGTCTAGTTTGTTCAGTTAAATGTGGTTTGAAGAAATTAGTTGGAACTCGTTCACTTACTAGGTCTGAATTAGAAACTTCATTACAGGAAGTTGAAGCCTATGTTAACTCAAGACCCTTGACCTTTGTGGGAGATGAAGTTGAAACCACTAAGGCTATGACCCCATCACACTTCTTAATAGGTAAAATTGCAGGTTTCCAAACTAAAATTTTGGAACTCTAGGTAGAAGTGTTCGGAGAAGATTTGAGTGAACGAGAGCTAGTGCGACAGAGATTAGATTAGATAGAGATTAGATTGTGGAGCATGGAATACATACAGAATCTACCCCTACTATTAGTAAATTTAAAGGAAAGGGTAATGTGGGTCTAGGTTCACTAGTGTTAATAAGGGAGGATAATGTACCACGTATGAAGTGGCCGCTAGGACGTATAGTAAAAGAATTCCCTGGGAAAGATGGTTTAATTAGAACCTTTGAACTGAAAACTGCAAAGGGTAATTTGATCCGCTCAATACAATGGTTGCATGATTTAGAATTAGGAGGAAGGTATACTCTTCCACATGTGGATAATTATCAAGTAGAAAACACAGATATGCCACAGAATACACTAGCAACTCGTAGTGGCCGGGTAATAAAATACAGTAAAACATGCTCTATTGTACTTTAATAATGTAGTGATCCATAATAATATGATACAATGTATGTTATGGTGTAACTGAGATCCACCTCTAAGGTGAGATAATGTAATATTCATACACGAGTATGAAAAATATTGTTGATTCATCACATGGCGTGATGTGAAAATTTTAGAAATACAGTACTGAAAATTAATTGCACTGAGTGCCTTTATATGTATTACTGGAAATCGGTCAGCAAATGATTGGAGCATTGGCTCATTGAATAGCTCACTGGGTGATGAGCATTACTGACCGCCACTTGGGACGGTATCCCTGTTCGTGAGGAAGTTATCTAACTTCAGTTAGCTCTGTTTGAGCTTTTGAAATGTTTATATGGGTTGCGTTTAATTATTGGTAAAAGTAAATGAAAGACGTTAAGATTTACACATTTGACTTTACATAGTTTATTCATGGTTTTATGCAGTTCTTAACTAAACTTGAGGAGTTTACTATGATGCAGTGTTTATTTACTTGAATTAGATTCAAGTTAAGTTGCTCTCCCAACAATAAACATATACACTTACGCATTGAAGTACAGTATGGAGCTATTGATATTATTCATTTGTAGTAAAGCAATCAGAGTTACATAATCCATTATGATTATGTTGTCAAATAAGTGTCTACCCACATAAAGTAGATTGATATTTGTAATATCAAGGTGGGAGAATGTTGACGGTTGGTTTAATGTTTGATGTATTTGGCGTCTCATAGTTGTTTATGTGTTGTAGAATTTATGAATAAATTAGTTGTGTTACAAGTTTTGGACGTGTTGGACCTGTGTGTTTTGTTAGTCCTTAAATTCACAATAACCAACTCATTTTAAGGAAAGCGGCCTTAAAAAATATTGCTTATAATCTCACTTTCTTTGGTTACAGGTACAGCATCATTATTCTCATTCTCCTTCTCCTTAAGTTTCATTCGGCTCTTCAATTACTGAATCCCTGACATATATTCTGTTTGACAAATTGCCATCTTCTTTTAAATAATTATCCTCATTTTCTATTAAGTTAACCAACTCTGCATGCGCTTCTTCAATTGTTTCATACATCTGTCTAGACTTTAGAATTCGGCTTTATACCTCTATTTTATCATAGACATCTTCTTTCAGCAAGTTCGCTATTCCCACTTCAGAGCACCCTTTCTGTTTCTACGTGTTATTTTTATTATATTTATTTCCTCCGCCATTGCTAATGTTATCACAACACAATGTTTTACAGAATGAAAATTATCATGTAAAGTTCACTGCACTTAGTCTTCTTTATTCGTCATTGTTTATCCAAATGTTCAATTTACTAGGATAATAGTAGGACGCTCATCACAGGCCGTTAAATATCCAATAAGTTGTTATAATTATTCACTTCTTCGTATACACCTCGCACTGTTTCGAATGTTCTCAAAATTGTTGAACTAGCCGACTCGCTGATGCCATCCGCAGCACCGCGCTGCAGGCTATTATTAATTAATCAGGTTGTCTCAACGCTGTATGTTGCTGGACCGTAGCGTTGTTTTCGCATATCCTGGGCTAGCATTTACTAGGCCTAAGTTTGCACACACAGTGAGAAGTTTCAGGGTTAACTTACTGTTAAACCTCGCTCTGCTACCATTTGGATTGACGCCTTCCAATATTTTATTACTCCTCACTGTCAGAAATGAACACAGTCGCATTTGAACTTTGTTTTGTTTTTTTATTTCAAAAAAACCGGTCAACAGCCATGATCGAAGAAAAACAAAAATGTTGCGCTCTCGCTTAACAACATTATTATAGCAATTAAGATAATGATTTTTCTTCTATTCAGACGTTTTACATCAACAGAAACGCCGTGAGAGACTAGAAAGATCACAACGAGCGTAGGCCTTACCTACTTTTGATTTCGAAATGACAGGATATTTCTCTTTATAACTTGCACGGAATGTTTGCCTGTGTTTGAGCTTCCTTTTTGGAAGAAGATCAACACAACTGCTCGTTTTTCGAGCACTGCCTAGGCCTACATACATATTGCTCTCATCAGACTCCATTTTGGTACTCGTGGTTTACTAGACTGTTGTTTTACGAAATCTGTAGACCATGGACCGCTATACAGGTCAGAGTGCATTGCAACTCTAACAGGGAATTGGCCAAGGAAATTTGATTTTTTCGAAATCAGTAGACCGTGGAAAACAAATTACTTTTTCGTATACAGAACAGAGTGCAACTCCTGACACCAACTAGGATTTTTTGGCCAATGAAATTTGGGTTTTTCTTCTAAATCGGTAGACCGTGTAACACGAATTACGTTTTCGTATACAGTGCAGAGCGCTGTTCAGCACGAAATCATTAACTGGTCTTGTTCTTATCTAATCATAGGATTTTACTTTTCGGAAATGCGCAATATATTTCAGCCAGTCGAAATGTGTAAAAACCGGAGTTTTTCAACACTAAATCAGAGTGCGGTTTTTTGCTCAAATAATTGGAGTAACTCCGACGAAATCGGAGTTTTTGGTATGTCTGTTATTAATACAACAAAGAGCAACTGCTTACCAGTCTGCGCATTCCTCCACGCTTAAATATGGTACAGGCGCAAGTTATCATATTGGGTTTTTTGTGCTAATAATATAGAAATTTTTTAATAATTAGAAAGCGTATTGGTAAAAATTATTATTTAGAATGTTCATTTGTACAAAATTAAAATATCTTAAAATTTGAAAAAAAATTTTCTTAAAATTGGACAAAACGAGAGCATCAATGATGCAATAGCCCACTTGACAATAGCTGGCAATGTTTAAGTGCTGTCGGTGGGTGGAGGCTGTGTGGAGTGTTGTTATGTGTATGAGCATAAAGAAAAGCGTTTAAAGTTAGAGTTAGTTGTATGCATCCTCATAGACCTTTTTTGTTATGTTCACTTAACAGTTAGGAAAGGTGTGATGTCGTGTACAGTGATATTAAAGGAAATATGGTTGTTGTAAGGTTTGTTGTGTACGTAAATTTTTGAAATATTTTGTACTGTAATTATGAAGATATTTATGTAGAAGTTTATGATATAAGTAGAGAGTTTGGTGAGTGAATGGAATTTGTTGCATAGAAG